CAATTCATATGAATATGACTGAAAAATTTCATTTTTTCTGAAAAGGTGGTGTCTATTTACTTGTGACCACACTGTGTACACAGATTTCACTGAAAGTCATCTATCAACTTCAATTATGTATTGATTTCTCCCTGTGAAAGATTTGATTCCAATACTGTGGTGGTCATATTAGCTCTCCCTAAAGGCTCAGTGGTAAGTCTGTGAAATTTTGACACTAGAAATCAGGTTTAGATACCCATGGTGGGCACAACACAAATAACCCATTGTGAAATTTGTACTTAAAAACAAACAAACAAAAATTGGTTGTATGCTGTCTACAAATTTCAGTGTTCCTGTTGTTGTTTGAATTGGTTCCATGGTACACTACCTAGGGGTTTGAACCAAATAACATTTCACTTTGTCATAAAGACTTCAGAACTCTGAGAGAAATTTCCATTACAGACAAAAAGACTTTATTAATTATACTTTTGTGTTATGCTTAAAAGTTTAGGTAGTATTTGAACTCTAATGTTGAGATTTTTAGAATTGTTCCAAATGCTATGTAGCAGTGACAAGAAAAAAAAGTTAAACAATCATATGAAGGATATGCTAAAATCATGTCACATTTGTGTTTGTATTTATTTCAAAATTAGTTATTCTACTAACTGTGACAAAATTGACCAACAAGTAATGTTTTTAATTTAATATAAAATTTACCCACTTCACAAATATTAGTTCAGAGGTAGCACAACATTTTAAGACTACAGACTTTCATTGTATTCTCTAAATATTTTTCTAATTTAGAAAACTAAACTTAGAAAAAGAGTATTTTTAAAGTACTCAGCTGATTGTGGTAAGACATTAAAGGTTTGAATGAGGGCTCGAAATTAGCATGGGCCTGGAACCAATGGCCCCCAAAAATGTTGGTGGGCTCATAAAAAGTATCTGCTAGGTAGCCCACATGGCCCCTTAAAATCAAAAGAGCCATTAAAAGTTTGACTCTACATTAATTGATCTAAGCATTTCTTAACCGAGCAGAAATTATGACAAACCATGAATGGAACTTCCCAAAATTACAAACGTTCGTTAGTCATGTACAATCCACAAATTTCATCACTATTACTGCCCGTGCAACAAATGTTTAGCTCAAAGACATGTGTGCTAGCTGCACTGGTGTACAGTGTATACAGCGTGTATAGCCTATCATGTCTAAAAAACAGTGTGTACATGTATATGTGTATAAAGGGTACCTGATGTGTGTGTATGCATTATGTATACAGGTCAAGCAATGTGTGTTCAAGATGGTGTGTTCCAGGCCTCATTGAGCTATCCCAAAGGACCCATACTAGTGAGTGGTGAAGCTACAAACAAAGCTGCTCGTCAATCTGTCAGGATATTGCAATCATTGGGTCAACAGCTGTGATGTCCCATGTTTAGGCTAGGCAGTTCAGAGCTCCATGGCTCGTAAAATTGACAGGTAAAAATGTTAGCATGCTCTGCACTGAGCATCTGAGAAACATTCTAAATAGTAATCATGAATAAAATAGGAAATATAACTATAGAAAGAAATGTTATTGTCCTATGGACGATATGCTACAATGTGTTAAAAAGTGCTTTATGCACAGTAAGAGTTCTATGAATAAAACTTGGAGTCTAGTCTTGGTCCTGATATGGCCTTGTAATAATTGGATTAGTATATTTGCCAATCATTCTGTGTGTAAAAATCTAACATTTGCATTATGCAAGCATTTATTAAAAACTTAAATTGCAAAATGAAAAAAATGGTTGTAGAATCCAAAGATTAGATCTGTTATTCACCGGAAAAAAAGAGTATTGGTATTGTTGTGACAAAAAATTCTGAAGCTTTTCAGGCATTTTTGGCTTTTTCTGATGCAATATATATATATCTTTGGTTTATGTTTTAAGACACATGTTTTCCTTAAAAAATTCAAAGCAAAATAATGCAATTTCCACAAATTTTGTGCTATGGCCCATTTCGAGTTATGTTTATTTCTTATCCAACAAATACGACTAGATACCCAGCTATGAGTGGCCAATTATGAGGTGGTATTCTGAAAACTATTAGTGGTCTATTAGCAAAGGGTGTATTAATTGTTATGGCAACAGATTTTCAATTTGATGTGAAACACATGTGCATGGAACAATTACGGGCTGTTCATTACTAATAGACCACTAATAACATTTTCATATTCACATTTTCTTCATTACTAATAGACCACTAATAAAATTTTCATATTCACATTTTCTTCATTACTAATAGACCACTAATAAAATTTTCATCTTCACATTTTCTTCATTACTAATAGACCACTAATAACATTTTCATCTTCACATTTTCTTCATTACTAATAGACCACTAATAACATTTTCATATTCACATTTTCTTCATTACTAATACACCACTAATAACATTTTCATTTCACATTTTCTTCATTACTAATACACCACTAATAACATTTTCATATTCACATTTTCTTCATTACTAATAGACCACTAATAACATTTTCATATTCACATTTTCTTCATTACTAATAGACCACTAATAATATTTTCATATTCACATTTTCTTCATTACTAATAGACCACTAATAACATTTTCATTTCACATTTTCTTCATTACTAATAGACCACTAATAACATTTTCATATTCACATTTTCTTCATTACTAATACACCACTAATAACATTTTCATATTCACATTTTCTTCATTACTAATAGACCACTAATAACATTTTCATATTCACATTTTCTTCATTACTAATACACCACTAATAACATTTTCATATTCACATCTTCTTCATTATTAATAGATCACTAATAACATTTTCATATTCACATTTTCTTCATTACTAATAGACCACTAATAACATTTTCATATTCACATTTTCTTCATTACTAATACACTACTAATAACATTTTCATATTCACATTTTCTTCATTACTAATAGACCACTAATAACATTTTCAAATTCACATTTTCTTCATTATTAATGGACCACTAATAACATTTTCATATTCACATTTTCTTCATTACTAATACACCACTAATAACATTTTCATATTCACATTTTCTTCATTACTAATAGTCCACTAATAGTTGTCAGATTCACACTCTCTTCTCGACATACTTTATAGAACATTACACCACCATCTTCATCATAGTGTAACCAGTTATTTTCCCTCTCCCACTCACCCTGTAACCACTTTTGCCCTTTTTCTCTGTTGCATTTTTTTTCGGATCATCAATATTTGGTTCTCTTCGTTTAAAAAAATTTTTAACTTTGGGTGATTTTTGTGTGATTTGAGTGACTTTTATGCCATATTCTCCATGCTTTGGACTGAAAATCTCTGGGCAATACTGGTCTATCACAGGTAGACTCTAATTCGTAAATACAATGTCCTTTTGCAACAACAATTATTTTTATTAGGAAAAGACTGCTTTCAAGAGGAATAAAAGAATAGATTACACTGTCAGTGATGCATAGATTTTCTTTCATTATTTATTTTGATTATTAAAGGACACAACTTTAAAAGGAATGAAAAAAAGTTACTGTCAAATCATGCTTTAGAGAAAAATGAAAGATCATATATAAAATAAAATTCATTTAAGTAGTCTGAAAAAATGAAGTGGCTTGTCTTGTGTTTTTGTCATGAAATACAAGTTCACAACAAAATAAATTGAGATATGTTGATATCTTTAGTTTCCTTTCAATTTACACACTTTCTGCTACTTAATTCAGTGATTTTTCTGATAACCTCCACTATAGAGTACATTTTGAAATAAGCTACAGGATTGGCCTCTAAAACTGCTTGCAGGCCCCTAAAAAGCATGTTTTGGGCTCCCTAAAAAAATTAAGTGTTAACCCTGTTAACATAATAAAAGCAATTGCATACAATATATCTATATAAAATACTTATAATATTAAGGAACCTAAACTTGAAAATTAACATACTGTATTACTACTGTTTAAGAACCATGAGCTGTAAAAAACATCATAAACAAAAAGTTTATACAGATCTCAGTTTCTAACTCTTACCTGAAACACAAGTATGAAGAAAAGACAAAGAAATAGGTAAACAATCCTGTAGATGACAACTTCTTTTCCACCAAGAGATATTACCATCAACATGCAGGTGACAATACAAATCCAGTACTTCACTAAAAGCTTCTTAACAGTGACCCCCAGGTAGCGTAAGAACAGACTTTCTCCCTTAAAACTAGCTGCACTTAGTCGACGGTGGTAAGCTGCTAAAAAAGTAACAATCTATAACATGTGCCCCAGAAAAATGAAAATCACTTCCTATTGTTATTTGTGTGATGGGCCAGCTAATACCACTAAATTCACAACTGTTAACAAGTTATCAATCTCTTAAAATTATGCTATGATCACTCAACACACAAGTTTCAATTATACATTCAAGCAGTCTAAAAATGCAAAATTTATATTTTATTTTTCTGGCTATAAACAGAATAGGTGGATAACATGTATGGCTAGAAATCATCAAGATTCAATCAACTTCATATCATAGTGGTAAAGTCAGTTGGAGGTTGGTAAGAATTGTCAGGAACAGTTAATGTTTCACCTGAATGAGCTATTTCAATTTTGATTCAGCACTGTGTGGTTAGTTACAGGAATTAGAACTGGCCTCAGTCATCTTCCAGTTCACATAGAGCATCTTGAAGATGGCCCATAGTATGCATCAAATTTCTTATGATAACTAGATGTTAACTGTAATTGTATAACAAAAAAGGGAACACTACACACATAAAATTACATACTAAACCTTATTTTAAAAACTACTTCTTCACAAATGTATTTTAAAATACAGACTTGAAATGTACAACAAACAAACAAACACCTATTCTTGAACTCAGTAATTCATCTCTGTGATAACTTCCCTGCTGTAAAATTGCTACAAATAAAAAAAAGATAAAAAATAAAACTAAAAAGTATATTTTCAAAAATGAGTAGAACACAATAAGTGTTCTTACATATATAACTTGCCATGAGTATCAATAAACAATGTTTTAATAAATAAAAGTAAAAATACTTACTAGGCTAGGCTGGGAAACTCCTGTTGAGAAATAATCTACAATATATTCATGCACATATGCAAGGGGGTTGTGCCAAACCCCTATTTTTGTTATAGCACAGCTGCTTGTGGTACTTAACGTTTTCTAAATAATCTATATTCTTCTGATAAAGCTTTAGCATTTTGTGGCTAGAAATAGTTGCATACAATAGCTTCTTTTGACAATTTGTATTTGGAAGCCCGAAGCTGTATTGCTACTGTCAGGTTTTGTAGGCTGGATTCTTTACAGTAGGTGTCTGTGACTTGTTGGAGATACATTTCAACAGTAAACAACTAGCAACACAGTCCATTTGTTTTAAAATAATATATTAAAACAAGTCAAACGTATATACAGATGTTTGTTGACTTTTTATTGGATGCTTGTGGATTTTATGTAAACAATGATGCAATTGTTTAAACTATATTTCCTGCAAAATTGCTTCCAGATTTAATCTCATAGTGCCTTTTGTTTTAACATTTTCTGGGGATGCATGTCCCCAGACCCCATAACATTAGCATGCTTTGCATGCTGACTGTGCTTCACACAATATGTGTTGCCTTTTCATCTCACAAATTACAACCCCCTTTCAAACATCCTGTATACAGGCCTGATATTAAGGTTTGGAATCTTCTAGTTAAGTAATACTGTACAATATATTTGATGAAGTATGTCAGGGTAGATTGTAATTTACAGTATTTTGTGTGGACAAGTTGTGTAACTTTATTGTATACGTAATTAACAAAGATATAGTGGTATCACACAACAGATGGCACTGTAACTAAGGCACTGGAGGAGCTGTGATGGGCTTATAAAAAGCTCCCAGAGGCAGTCAGGGGATTTTGTTTTTCATCATACTAATCGAGTTAAGGCAAGCTGGGCAGTTACAAGACATAGGTTCATCTTTACAATTTGTCAAGGAACTCCAATTATAACGTTACCTTCATTCAGGGAAGAACAAACTATGTAAGTAACCAGTTAAATTTATTATTACTTGACAAAGGCTTTCAGTGTATAATGGGATAAGCTGCACTGGGTTTTAATTACCAAATTTTGCTGGTGTTTGTCAATTTCAAGAGAAAGAAGCAATATGCCTATCTTTAAGGGCAAATGCAGAATCCTACTGGGAAATAACGGTTGGTGAAACTACACATGTTTAAACTGCACAGGATTCACTTGAATTTGTATTTCATCTTTAGCGTTTTAGGGACATTATTCGTTTATATTCCTATATGATCATTGTACTTGTTAGGATGTATTTTAAAGAACATTTTCAAATGTGCAAATTGTGACTATAATGCCCATAATCCAGCATCTAGTTATTGGTACTGTTAATAATCAAAGTGTAAGTAATAGCAAATGATTCTTTTTTTTAGTAGTTATTACTATTCATGGTCATTTTGTAAGCTTTTTAAATCACATTAATTTAACTGTATAAGGTTCCTTAGTTCAGTATACAAATTTAATAAAAGTCTTAATTAACTTTACTTATTCCAGTTTAATTGGGTGTCTAGTGTTTGAGTTCTGTTTGTATGCATAGTACTCTGTGTTTTCTTGCTGGTGATTGTTAATCACACATTAAATGTCAAAAAAAAAAATGGTTTATAATTTTATGGTTGAGTAATACTGTACACTATATTATATTAAATAATAACCAGGTTTGGAAATATTCTCATTGAGTATTCCAGTAGAATATATTATATGAAATAGATACCAGGTTTAGAATCTTCTGGATGAGTATCGCTGTAAGACAAATTATATGTTTCCATCACTAGCCTTTCTGAAATGTCCCTGTTGGATTCCAATCGTTTTTCCTCTACATACTGATGAAGGGTAATCCAGAATACAATGGTGTATAAAATCTACCCAGGAAAAGAAAAGTACAATTAACTGCTACAAACAGTATCACTTAAATAAAATACCATAAGTTGTCTGAAAAATATAGATTTGGTATTCAATTTTAATTGTATTCCACATATAATATGTTCTCAGCATTTTATCCAAAATTAGTGTTTAAACTAGTTTTTTACAACCCATTCACATCAAACCACAAGTTACCATAACTAAAATAATGAGTTTTAAAAAATTAAAATTTCTACCTTAAATTTATCACTTAAATTCAGTTTCCAAAGAGAAGTATATGTTTATTCATTCAATGCCAATAACTCACTGCTTTAATTTAGTTCTTCAGAATTCTCAATTTTCTTTCTAAATAAATACTTATGAAGCTAACAGAATACACGTATCTCTCTGTGACCTAATAATGACTTGAAATATATACTTGCTAACCAAAAAATTGCTATTTTGTGTTTCAGTTTTACATGTAAAATACAGAAGGCATTAGAAAACAACTGCTAGCACGCATTTCAAAAGTTAGGTTCAAATATCCTTATCATTGAGTATCAATACATCTTATGATTTATGCATTTCAGTCATTTATATTTCAACATTCTGAGTACTATAACTGTGATAAGAAAACTATTCCAACTGTTTAATGTTTAGACTTCGTTGAAGCAGTTTTATATATAAAGAATGCTTGATCCAAAATCATGGAGTTTGCTTCAACCGGGCCTGAACATGAATCAGTATAACATAATATTTAAAAAGAACAAGATATTGATCCATCTAGGCTGTTCCATCCATTAAACCAGCGGTTCCCAACCTTTTCACCACCAAGGACCCCCTGTTATTATTATTTTTTATGTTATTTAAAGATTCCATCTACCCAACAAACTGTTTTTCTCACAAATAATTAACTTGTTTTTTCATTTTTCACTATCAAATAAAAAACATATATAACTGAGTGTGCAATTAAAAGAACAGCAGAATTAAAAAACTCACTTGTTTAATGAGATGGTATTATCTTCGCGGACCCCCAAGGGTCCAGGGACCATAGGTTGGGAATTACTGCATTAAACTAAACTAAACTTATTTAAAGAAAACTCTCAAAGTAAGCCCTTATCATTCATATAGTTATCAAGCCTTCTCTTAAACTCAATTACATTTACTGCCTCCTTCACATCCTAGGGTAACCCATTCCAAAGACCAACTACCTGATTAGAAAAATAAAGTCTTAGCTGAAGATCACTCCTACCCTGAAAAAATTTATATTTGTACCTCCTAGTCCTACAATTCAAGAAAGATGTTACATCAACACTATCAATTCCCTTAACAATTTTAAACACCTCAGTCAGATTCTCTCTAATCCTTCTTTTTTCAAGAGAAAATAATTTCAGAGATCTTAACCTCTCCTCATATGTCAACCCCTCATCCCAGGAAATCATCCTAGTAGCCCTCCTCTGAACCTTTAGCAACAAATCAATATTCTTCCTAAGGTAAGGAGCACAAAACTAAACACAATACTCCAAATTTGGCTTAACCAGTGGCCTATACAATGAAATAATAAGTTATTCAAACTTGTATTCAATATTTCTGTAGATACACCCTAAAATCTTATTTGCCCTACCACTATCTGGCTCAAGAGATTGATCAACCAAGATCCCTTTCTTTCGTGACACAGTTAACGTTATTCCCAACCAAATTATACTTATAATTCAAATTATGATAACCCACATGCATTAATATGCATTTATTATAATTAAAACCTGTCTGCCATTTATTTGCCCAACTCACTAAATGATTTAAATCCTTTTGTAAAGCAGCAGCATCCTCTTCATAGCTAGCAACATCCAAGACCTTAATATCATCAGCAAATTTAAGTAGCTTATCAATCATTCCTTCATCTGTGTCATTAATGTAAAACAAAAAGAGCAAATGTCCTAAGACAGAGCTCTGAGGTACCCCACTTGTGACATTAATCCAGTTTGACTAAGCTCCATTTGTAACAACCCTCTACTTTCTTCCACACTGCCACTTTTCTATCCAATTAACCAACTTATCCCCCACAGCTATAACATAAGTTTTTCATAAGCCTTGTATGTGGCACCTTGTCAAATGCTTTCTAAAAATCCAGATACATCAAATCTACACCCTTACCCTCATCTACATGAGCAGTAACCTTTTCAAAGAATGTCAAAAGATTTGTAAGGCAAGAGTTTCCTTTAGCAAAACCATATTGGCTATCCAATAAAATTCTGTACTTTGTTTAAATAACTTTGCAAAACATCTTTTATCAGACTTTTACAAACTTTTTCCATAATAAGCTAATACTTACTGGGACAATTTTATCACATCCCTTGGAAAGAGAAGTAATGTTAGCCAACTTCCAATCCTCTGGCACTTTCCCGTTATTCAAATTGTAGCAGTTGGCTCACAAATCCAATCCTTAACCTCCTTCAACACCCTTGGGGAAATATGATCTGACCCACGAGTTTTATCAATCTTTAAACTTCCTAGTTTTGTCTTAACAAGCTCAGAATTAATGTGATCATCTTTTTCTTTATCTCATTTCCATCTATCAATTGTTCAGGATGAAGAAAAGTTATAATTTTCCTTCACTGAAAATGTACATCCAATAGGTACTTACTTCCTCTCATGTAAATAACTATTTTTGTTCAGTGCTGTCCTCTATATGCAAAAAAATTTTATGCATGGCACAACCCTTCTATCTCCCCTCCATTGGAATTGACTGATTCCAATGCGTCTCTCATGCATCAACCCTCCACCAATAAGAGTGTGACATAATCTCATGACACATTTAACTCCCTCTATTCAATTCTACCAAACTATCACTTCAAGTTTTGGCAGAAGATAGAATCATTGGCTTTCAGTGGAAAGAAAGGGTGAGAAGAGGTAAGTACCTATCAGAAATACAATTTCAGTATAGGAAAATTATAACTTCTGATATAGTACACTACCTCCTCTCACATAAATAGCTAGAATCCCACATTGAATAGGTAGAGGGATCAGTGTGATGGAAAGAAAGAAGCATCCTTTGAAAGCATCCAAAGGACACTCCCTAAAATGAGGTAGTCAGATTTTAAGATCTGATTAGGGAGACAACACCACTTCTGAACCAGGTATACTCTTTGCCCATAATAGAAAGATGATGCATATATATGGGCGGAAAACAAAAGAGCACATCCAACTGGGAGTAAACTATGGCCAGAAAGTGATCGGAACCATGCAATATTTATGGAACTTAATCCCAGAAATTATAAAAGTGGGTAAAATGAAAAGGATGTACCCCTAGGTGTAGAGTGGCTAGGGTACAAAAGACCATACATGGCTAGTCAACTTCATCCAAAACCCATGCAGCTGGGAACCAACATCCATACGGGGGTAGAATGAAGATCATACTGTCAGTAAGTCAACTACAATAATCCGAAACCAGACTGCCAGGTACCAATATCCATGTGGGGGTAGGAAGAAGATCATATCACCAGCAAGTCGACTACAATCCAAAACCCGGCCATCTGGCAGGGTTAGGGAAAAGGATCATACCATCTTCTCTTCAAGTTCATGAGACTGGAGGGAATCTAGCACCCCCTGACTCATGAATGGGGCACGTGTGAATATGATAAATTGATAGATCGATCTGTGAACCCGACATCCTGTATCAAAAAGATTGTCCACATAATGTATACCATCTCTCTCAAAAGTCAAATTGACCTGAACCACCCCAAGCACAATTACATCTTCGGAATAAGAAACATGGAGAGATAGCAGAAGGGAAAGAACCATAACAACCCACAATTACCTCCACCGTGACCCACAACACTGATGGAGTATAAATGTGGGAGGAATATAGACATCTAGAATACATGTGTGAAGAATTATGTTGATTGGTTCTGCTATAAATCCAAAACCCAGTCACTGGGAACTGACACACATGTGGGGGTAGGATGAGGGATCCCAATCGAAGAGGTGAAATGCAATTTTGATGTCTCACTCCCATTTGTTTTACATTTCATATTGGAAGATATCAAGTCATCTATGCCAGCAGAACACCACTGCCCTACTCTCAACTGAATGGTTTTTATAATCATTTCTATATTTTGTTTGTATTTCATTAACCCATTCAGGAGGATGCCTTCACGGTCCACAAACCCAATGGCTTGGAACTGAAAAGTGGTAAGAACTCTCAAACACCACTAGAAGAAAAGGAAGGTAAATGCAGTGGAGAGTATGGTGGAACGACAATACCTGAGATAGTAAAATGGGTGACCACGATACCCTACTTTTAAAAGCAGATCATACCAATTTCTTCAATACAAGCCATGACAAGGATGGGCAGCTATCCCCTTCTGCTTTACCCATGTAGTCCATGGGTGGGTATGGTCTGGGACAGGCAAAACTATGAAGCAATTCTATCGTGAGGATAAACCTACAAGCGATCTTGTGGAACACCCCATCTCTGCAGTGTGCACTGCGTGACCATAGAATTATAATATGCAAATTGACATGGCATGATAGTGCGGATTTGAATAGTTAATGAATACCTGGTCAGGCACCACTCACCACAGCGCGGGATCCAAACAATGAGGATGAATAAAAGGGAAAAGGACCCCTGAAAAGGAAAAAATAAGAAAAAAATAAGTTAGAGGTCAAAGACTCACTGAATTCTAATATTTTAGAATAGGTACAGGTGAAAGACGATAATCTGAAGAGGAAGAAAACTCAGATCTGATGCAACTAGTGAGAGATGAATGTATCATGGGTAGTCCACGTGCCAGATTGAAGAAGTACATCCAAAGGAAGACAAAATAAAATGCCAATGAAAAGGTAAGGTGTCAAATTGAGTGAGAAAACGTTCAGAACAAAGTAAGGGAGGAAGACAATAAAGAGGAAGAAGCCAATTAATTGAAGAGCCGAACACAACTGGCAAAGGAGGATGGAGAAAGAACATGAATAGAGGCCGGTTGCCAAGGGAGAAAGAGGCAGGAATGTACACCACAGAAGG